TATTTCCAGTCTACCCTTGCAAGTATTTTCGGGCTCACGGGGAGGTACTGGAGGGCCTGCTTCCTTGTTCCCCGAGTGATACTGTACTAGGTGTGATTTCATTTTTAACTTTAACGGTTCAGCAAGGAAAAAAAAGTGGAAAGAGAGACATCTAGTTTTAATTGGCTTTTGATTCTGGTAATGGTGGACATTTTCCCTAGATATTTATAGGTCATTTGGATTTCTTTCCTGCTTTGCCTGTTCATGCTCACCCATGACGTTAATCTCCCTAGTTGAGGGTGGGCTTGAAACATCTTGCCAAAGTGTGGCCTGAAGAGGTGCCTTTGATGGACATTTCCACTGGGGACTAGGGGCGCCAATTTCCTTAGGCCCCTGCCAATGCTGAGCTCTATCGTAGTTTTTGATCTTTGCTGAGTTGGTAGTTGGACATCCAGTTTGCGTTCCTGTACTGAGTGAGGTTGAACCTGCTTTGGTTTGTAGAAGCCATTCATGGGTCATTTTCTGGAAGCTCACATCCTTTGCCCATCTGCCGTACTTTCTATCTAGACTGTCATCTGTGAGGGTACCTTTGGTTCTTGTTTCAGTATTTCACAGAGATTTAGGGTAGGAAGCATCGAGAAGGGAAGGCTGACGGGTGATCGCACATCCGTGTTGAGCTCTTTTGATTGCAGTTGACAGCTGGCTTAGGTAGTCTTAGTTCACGGAGGGCTTGACCTTCATCAGCACGAAGTGGTGTTGGAGCTGAGACCCCCTCAGGAAGTGCTGCGCAGGTGTCCTGGGGGGAGCACATCCCAGGGAGGAAGTTGGGAATGCCTCCTTTTTCTCCAAAGAGTGCCTGCCCAGTTCCAAACTCCAGATGCAAGGATGAGCTGGCCGAGTCTTCCCCTCCCTGTCCTTCTGAGACCTTCTCCACCTATCCCCAACCGTCACACGGCTCATGTCCATCTGTAACAGGTGAGCTGAATGGCAGGACTCCAAGGACAGAATCACAAAGCAGTTTTGTCTTCCAGTGTTCAAGAGGTAATCAGTAGGGGAACTTCCCCCACCCCTGGATGAAAACTCAACGCTGGGCATCCATGACTCTCCTGAGCACCCTCGGATAATAAAGCTTACAGGAGGGCCTGGGTGGCGCAATCACAGTCGGTTAAGCATCTGACTCTTGATTTTGGCTCAGGTCGTGATCTCAGGGTCCTGAGATCGAGCCCCGTGTCGGGCTCCGTGCTCAGTGCAGAGTCTGCTTAAGATTCTCTCTCCCTCTCCCTCTGCGCCCCACCCCCCCACTCCAGCTCACTCTTGTGCTCTCTCTCTTTCTCTAAAATAAATCTTAAAAAACTTAGGCATTTTACGTTGCCAAATGTGATTCCTGTTCAGAAGTTGGGATACCCCATCTCGTCTAAGAGTCAAAGCTATGAGTAGTCCCTGATCACCCCAACTGGCCCTCCAGAGTTGGAGCAGGAGGGCAGGGGGAGCAAAGATCTTACTCTTGATGGTCGCTGTCCGAAACTGGCCTCGCTGCTGGGCCTGGCCAGGGCGTCGTTCTTGTTCTCTTGTGGTGTGGGGTACTTGCAGGGGTCACTGGAGACCCCTCTGCCCCTCCTCCGGCCTGCAGCTCAGCCTTGCATGAGCACTTCCCTTGATGTGGCTAATCCTCTCTCCTACCCACAGCTCCTCCTTTGCAGCTCCTCGGGATCCAGTGATACCTCCAGCTTCCTTCTTCTAAGCCCTGGTCACCCCCTCAAGACGACCCCAGGTCAGCTTGTTATTAGTGTAGCTCACGTCTGGCTCATGGGGAAGACTTTGCAGCTTCTGCCTTGCCAACCTTGGCACTTGCCGGCCAGCCCAATGCCCCCTCTCCCTTGGCTCTCTCTCCTGGCAGATTTGACAGGGGAGTCAGACCCCAGGACACTGGGTCCCCACCACTAGGGGCCCATTTCAAGCTCGCAGTGTTTCCTGAAGAGCCCTATCACTATGCTTAAGGTATCAAGAGACCCCTGCCCTCCCCAACTCACACATGTGCACACATCCCTGAGCAGGAGAAGGGCTCAGTATAACTCTGCAAAGAAACCAGCTCTACAAATTATCTTTTTGAGTATCTGCTCTTTGTTCTTTTATGCCCTCATGGCGGGTGAGGATGAGAGAGGGAACAGGTTTTGGAATGGGCCAGGCATGAAAACACCTGGAGCAGGATGCTGGGCTCCTGCAGGAGTCCGCATCTTGCGATGCTGCCTCTCCTTGGGTGTTAGCATCCACCTTTCTGGTTGGGGCCTGTTTATGACATGTAGCCCAAGCTCAGCCTAGTGCCCACCCAGGTAAGTGTGAGGTCCTCCTTGTGGCAACCCAATGCCTAGAGTGAGAGGAAGGGCCAGCTTGGGAAAGCAAGGAGGTAGTGGGGGGAGGTGGCCAGCCTGCTAGGAGTGGTTGGGCAGGTTGTGTACTGCAAAACTCCAGGAGGTGTCATTCACTTCACAGCCCAGGGGGACACACGAGCCTGAAGGCTCCTGTAGCATCCTGCCCTGGGCGACCAGGAGCACCTGAGCTAAGCCAGAGGGACTAAGGATGCTGAGGAGGGACAGAAGTGAGAGCTACCAGGAGAGAGAACTGCCAGGGTTCGTGACTTGATTGAGGGAGGGGTGGGGCGTGGGGGAGGCCTCTGGGTGGGTGATAATGTGACTCATCTAGATGGAAGTCCGGAGGAAGCAGGGACAAGGTGGTGAGAAAGTGTGCAGGGAGGCGTGTAAGGGCCTAGGCCCCTCTGGGACCCCTCGGGTTGGCAGCTGACTGGTCTGAAATGCAGGAACATGTCCGGGCTGGAAAAACTGCCCTGGGGATCACCAGTGCGTATTTGGAACTAGAGACAGGCCCAGATTAGGTCACCCGGGAGCACGCAGAACTGAATTCCCAACTTAGGAGGCAGCAGGCCTGGGGCGTGGGGGCCCTTTGCATTCTTTCCTAGCGGCTCTGACCACCACAGCTGTGGGGGGAGGAAAGCTGATTGCCGAGCAGGGCAGCATCTGGGGCAAAGGCAGAGCGGCTGAGGTGGGACGTGGCCTTGCCTGGCGCGGGGAGAAACCATGCCTGGGTGTCTGCTGCACGAACCTGCGAGCACGTGTCCTCACCGTGTCCGGGGGCCGGGGGCGACGGGCTGGCTGCAGCTGCCTTCACAGCGCCGGTCGTGCGCCGCTCGGGGGCCCAGCGCACACGCCCCTCCATCTGCCCGCACCGCCTGCTGTCGGGCCCTGCAAATCCTGCGGCCACGTTAGCTCAGAACCGGACAAGAGCTCATTCTGGAGCAGAGAAGGCCGACCCACAGGCATCCAGTAACTTGCCTGACTCAAAGCTAGTCAGCAGCCGAGGTAGACGGAGGATTCACAGCTCCTGTGTTTTGTTTTTTCCTTTTCTTTTTGTGCAAAGACCCGGGTATTGAGCTGTGAAGTTAGCACGCTATTTATTGGCTTGTGTGGTCCAGATAAGAAGCCTGGAGCTCGTGGGGCGAATTAAAGAAACAAGCAAAGCCAGCCTTCCCCCCACTCAAGTGGAGCCTTAAAGAGTTGAAAGGGATAGTTTGGAAGAGGGCATAGTTTTCTCCATGATATTAACCCAAAAGCCTAGTAGATCATACCTATGAATATATTCAAACTACCCATCACAAGGGTAAACCTTTTGGAATATTGCTACCATTGTATAACATGTGGGTGTGGGTGGTTCGGGATAATTTACAGATAGGCAAAGAGATTAGAGGCAGGTGTTTGAAAACCACGAACCATCTCATGGTTTATCTGAACAGCCTCTGGATTAAAAGCTCTCAGCCATCATAAATGAAGACAAGTATGAACACTAAAAGTTCTCTGCAATGTGTGACATAGAGTGAAGGTGAGGAAAGGTGGGCAGGCTGTGGGGAATGGTTGTGCAGGTTGTGCACTGCAAAAACTCTAGGAGGTGTCATTTACATCATAGTCCGGGGGACAGATAAGCTTGGAGAAGCCTCCCATCCCATTTGGCCCTAGGGAACCAGGAGCACCTGAGCTAAGCCAGCGGGACTAAAGAGGATGCAGAGGAGGGACACAAGGGAGAGAGTGACAGGAGGGAGGAACTACTAGGGCTTAGTGGGACCCTGCTGGCATGGGATAGGAGTGTCATGGAGTAGGTTTCTGGGTGGATGGTAATGTGACTCATCTGGGATGTCAGGAGAAAGCATGGGAGGGGTGCAGATTTGCATCTCGAGGTAGTGCTGCTCCGCATGGGGAAGATGGAGGATGCTTGGGCCAGCACAGCACCATGCACTGACATTCGAGCCGGGCAAGAAGACAGGCCATAGCCCACGTGCCGTGGTTGGCAAGAAAGCATGGCAGTGTTAGAGGCGGTAATAGGGAAGCGTGGTCGAGGCATGACATCGGGGATTTTAACCCGAAGACATGTAATAAAGGAGATGCAGTTTCAGGCAGGGCAGCGGGATTCTTCCAACCCTATTAACTACAGGTGTGTAATAAAACCCTTTCTGTAATCTCTCATGGGAGGTTCAAAGAATGAGAGCCATCACTCTTTGAGGTTAAGACATTACACTTTAAAGAAGAGTAATGCTTTTCACACAGCGATTGATCAGAACAAGAATCTCTTAGATGTGGGCAGGAGGGGGTTTCGGGTTCTGGCCTTCTTACTTTCCTGACGCCCGTGTAAGTTGGGTATCACCATTCAAGAAGCTGGGGGGAGAAGCTGAGGCTCGGAGAAGTACTTTCAATATTACTGCAATGATGGGAAGTAAAAATTCATTTTCATATAGAATACAGTTTGAAGCAATAGGTCATATTTAAATAAGGGAGTTTAGAGAAATAAGCCAGTGGTTAGAGGTTTTAGCTACTAAGGCAAAGGCAAAATTTTAATGCCTCCTGTATGTTTGACAGAAAAGGGAAATGTAGTTAGAATTAGGAAACTGTGTAATTTGGGATGTATAAATAGACTGACGGTTAGAGTTTAGAAAATCAAGAAACTAAGAGCAATCTCAATCGTATGCCAACTTTAAGCTTTACTTAAAGTAAAATTAGAGTGTGAAAACTGTTTGAGAATACATGAGTGTGAACTCCACCTCCCCAAGAAGCCAATAAAGGAAAGCATATAGAAATGCTCTTAACAATGCCAAAAGTTACATCTATTAAATACATACGCAGCACTTGTTGAAGTGCTGTATGTATTTTATATTGACCTCTGCAGTCAATTCTCATCAAAGGCTGCACAAATGTTTTAACGTGACTGGCTTCCACGAAACCCACAGTTTTGATGTGAAACTGAAGAGCTGGTCAATGGACATCATTGGCACGTGTAGGGTAAAGTCCCAGTAGACTTCATTTTGTTAAAAAAAACATTCTGGAACACTGCTAACATTCAGATCTGAGATGAAGAACGAGGTAATTTTATCTTTCCACCGCAGGATCCTGTAGCATGTTCTAAATCCTAGATGGTACACAGAATGTTGGCCCCGGAAGGAGCCTTAGCAGTAATGGCCTGAGCTTCTCACGGTGCAGGTGACAGTGTGTGGCGAGAAATGAGTGGGAGATCTGAAGGTCACAGCTGTAGACCCACAGCCATTTAAGCTCTCCTTAAATGACTGAGCACAGGCTTGTCCATGTCGCACAGAATCTCTTGGGTGGCTCTGTCAAGATTTCTGAAGTGCTAGGACCAGCTCCTTGGTCATCCCAGCTTTAGATATTTGTCCTCTCAATCCATCACCAAGCAAACCAACTATAGCTTGGTTCCAAGGAGCTGTGTATTTGCCTCCATGAGCCTCGTGGATGCGGCACCGCGGGGGAACTTGCCTGCTTTGTGGAGACTGGTCCCCGCTGCGGGTGCTGGGGGACTGGTGCTGATGGATACCTTATACCCCCTTTGTTCCACCAAGCTGGTCTGAACTTCACCTTGATAGCTGGTTCGTCCAAATTGTGGGTCCCCCGTGTTCACGGCCCCACACTTAAGGGAACCAGAGTCCACCTGGCCATGATGTTTCCCAACACCAAAGGCAACCATTTCTTGTCCCCGGTGCATAGCTGGAGAATGTCTGCCCCTAAATCTTCTGGGGCCAACCAATCTCCATATGCCGCTGAATTTCCACGAAGCCAGACAGGCTGGTCTGTCTCCAGCTCTCTTCAACCTAAGGAGACCACTTCTACTTGTGGACACAGAAAGGGTTCCTAGCTCTTGTGCGTTTCTGTGTACACGCACGGACTGTGGTAAGTCTTGTTAGCGAAGTGCACTGAAGTTTCATAACCTTAGGAAGAGGTGTCGTGTAAAAACCTGCCCCGTCTGCGAGTGGCAGACTGCCATCTATACAAGTCTCTGGCATGATCTGACGCAGACTTTTAGGTACCCTGGCTCATTGTACATGAAGCAGAGGGAAAGAAATCTTTTGGAATCACCTGGACTTGGCAAAGAATGATTTAAAAAACAATGTGATGACTGAGGAGGCCCACCTTGGGTGCTCTGCTTAGCAGAGGCTGCTGATCGTTCCAACGTCCCCTCTTGGGAAGAAAGTCAGCTCAGAACATCTGTCCACTGTTCTTCCCTTTTGAGATCAGATAATAAGCTACACACACACACACACACACACACACACAGCCCCCTTTTCTGACCTCTGAGTGGGGTTTGGGTTATTTTGATTACATAATAAAATTTCTCTCACTTTAAACATTAGCGCAGTTAATTTTAGACATTTAGCCTTTAAAAGGGCAGGCAACAGGGCCTTTTGGTACATTTGTCTTCAGATTTCTTCTACATCCTGTTTTGTGTGTGGTTAGATCAGCTGATGAATCATGTGATGTTTTGCTGCTTCAAACGACAGAAATAGACTCAAAATAACCACACGGAGGAGCCTCTCCAATGTTTACCAAACAGGTTGCTCAAAAACATGCTTTTCTATGGTTCACATGCTTTTTATGAAAGAGCTGGGGGAGGGTGGCTGTCTATGGAAGACGGGGGGCGCGGAGCCATGGGTTTCACGGAACTGGCTGCATGTGGACCACAGAGGTCTCAATGCTACAAAGGGCCCTGTCTTCTGAAGCCCCGCCCAGTGACAAAAAAGGGGCGGGACTTATAACACAGAAGGCCCCTTTTACTGGGCTGTGCCTCACTTTGAAAACTTCATCCTATGTTTAGGGGTCAGCTCACCTGAAAAAGAAGAGGCCAGAAGCCAGGACTGGTTGGAACACAACAGTGCATGCTGTCCTGGGCACTGGTCTGCCTAGAGATTCAGGGAAGTAGAAAGATTTTTAAATACAAGAACATATTTCTCAAGGTCATGTCATTGAATTATAAGATTATAAATACTTTTTTTCTTGCAACACAGCCTCTTGGGCTCTCCCACTTTAGTCTAGAATTAAGGAAAAACCCTCTGGTCAGAGAACTACTGAGTCTTTAAATTGTTTTGTTTCTAGAAACTAAGAGTACAAAAAAAAAAATTACTCTCTTCCTCCCCCCCCTTCCTTCCCATAAGACCCCAAATGGGGAACAATTAGGGTAGGGAGCTGTTGAGTTTTTTTCACTTCTTACTCTAAACTATCACTGAAGAACTTTTGTCATACTTGGGAAATATAATGACTATCTCAACCCTGAGAGAGATCCAGAAAAGGCTTCCTGTGAGGACCACTTAGCTGGACCCTGGCTGGGACGTGCCCTGGGGTTTGGAGAACTTTCAGTCTGATGGAGCTGGGCTATGGTGGAGCCCCTCCCTGGGCCTCCCTCCTCGTGGTCCCCTGCCCTCTGCATCTCCCAAAGTTATTTATTGGTAGGACTCAAAGAATGAAAAAGTGCATTTGATACCATACCAAAGCTTTCCTTGGGCCCACCCGATATATCCTAAACAACACTAAAAGCTATTCTTTCTGAAGGTATCAACCATCCATGGACATTTCCAAAGCCAAGCCACCTGCTCAGGCTGACCCATGAAACAGACACAGAACAAGACCTTTGGAAGAAGACAGACCCAACACAGGCAGCAAGGGACCATGCCTGGCTTCCACTCCCGTGCCCAGATGGAAGAATCCCAATCAAGTGAGGGGTTCTGGCCACCGTGCAAACCTCTCAACATGCCCCTGAGCCTCATGGCCGACAGGTCCAGCCCTATCATGACTTTCCTGGAGCAAGCCTCGCCTGGTTCTTTCCGCTCACTTCTTGGGCATCTGATGCTCTGTGCCACCAAGCTCTGAGTGGAACAGAGCACACGACACCTTTATGTTTTAGAAGGACCTGGCATAGGACCCTCAAAAAAGCGAAGAAGCCTCTGACCTGGGAATACCGTCAGTGCAGAAAGACTGCTTTGAGCTTCCCCAACTCACTTCTCAGCATTTTAAAACGGCTTTATGCCCCTGTCGTTATAGATTATATTTGTCTACATGTATCACCCAACATGGAGAAGGTCATGCCTGGTCTTTTCATGGTCCTTGACATGTGACTCTCCCAGGTACCACGCCCTTCTAATTATATCTGTCAGCTGAGCGACTGGCAATAAAAAAGAAACCTGTGTTGGGGAAATTTTTTTTTTGGTCGGCAAACTCAAAGGCGTGGCCCTCCTTACTCTGAAAAGTGGGAAGGAGCAGTGTTCCTTTCCTGTCTAAGGCTGCCAATACCAAGTCTTGCTCTAGAAGCTGAGGTGTGTGTGGTAGGCCATGAATGAAGTTAAGCCGCCCATGTGAAGGAACCGTGTGAGGTACGGTGTGCTTCGAGGCAGAAGGTTTTGGACACGTCCTGCACAGCCTCTGTCATCGTGGTCTTCCCGTGTTCTCTGAGACGGGCGCCACATATTTATGGCCCGTGATGTTCATCATCGACGGTGTCTCTGAGGTTCTAATGACACATTCTAGTTGTGTAATGAAGGGTCTCTAGCTGATCTTTCCCCGACTTCGGAAGAGGTGGCTTTTTCAATTTGATCTTTAAGTTCCAGCCGCACAAGCATGAGATAGTCACACATTAAAAAATACTGCTGTTTAATTTTCTAGTCATGTACTTTTAAAAAGCTGATACAATTAGACGTTTTTTTTTTCCCCATCTTCTCAGATCTGCCCCTGAAACCACCCGAGAGCTACGCATCTTAATTTCTAGCACTCATCTATACGGAGGAAAAGTCTCTCAGAGGAAGCCCATGAAAATTTGTCCCCACGGTGGACACACCCAAGGTCACTTGATGTCCAGAAATATGAATGCAGCCCTGTGATGTTCGTGGCTGACTTTATGCCCTTACATTCTTTTTTTTTTTTTTTAACGAGGAACAATATTACACAGCACTGAAAATAATAAACACAAAAGGCTTGCCTTTTTCGCCCCTTCCAGTGTGTATTTCCATTCTCACTGTTGTCCATGCTAGCTGACCCCATTTATACCCCCGTTACCCATAATGAAAAATAGTTCTTTCCTCATTTATTGATCCTTACATTTATATACAAATGACAGACTCTGTAGAACTGCTGTAAATAAGATACAATGTTCATCGATACAATACGTTTCAACTGCAGGTCTGTAGAGCACAGGAGTAATCACCGTATTGTATTAGAGACATTTTATTGAAAATGCGAAAATAGGAAATGTATTATAGCCTAAAATAAATTACATAACATATACAGTATATATTTATATCTTTAAAATATTTTTGTGTTTAGGTTCTTTCCGTCTAGGAATTTTGACTAAATCAAGAATTTAGTGAACTGTGTCCATAATTTTTTTAAAGAAAAAACCCGCTTTCCAAAACTTAGAAAAATATACTGCACTAAATGGATTTCAAATGTGTCATTTCAGGGAATATCACATAGTGACTTTGCTATCGCTTAGAAAATGTCTTGCTTTCTCATGTGGTGTGAATTACCTGCCCCGCATGGTTATGAGTAAGAGTAGCGGAACCAGGTAACGAATCTACTTCAAAAGTTACGATACAGCAACCTGGCATTAGAATGCTAGATTATGACTTAAAGCTTCCTTTCACTTTAAAAAAACTAAGAGAAAACTCCGTTTCGCTTGCTCTAGCGCCATCTTCAGGAACGGTGAGTGACAAACAAGCCTTCGGGGAAGTCATGCCTGAGGATGCTGACGTTTGGAGATGCGCTTTTGTGACAACTTAAAAAACTTAGCTCATGTATGTACACGGCGGGGCCTGAAAAGTGGGAGCTCGCTCCAACCTAGGAAAATGCAGGTGAAATGCTATCGTTCAGTCTGCCACTCCCCCAGCGTCTCGAACCTTCCCCCGGGAGGTCAGGCCCGCGCGTCCATCCGTCCGCCCGGCCGTGCAGTGCGTTCACAAAGGCACTGGTCAGTGTGAGCGGCCAGGCCAGGCTGCCATCTGTCGCGGACGCTCTGCACGGCGGGGGAGGGGGGTGGCTGGGCGTTGGCGGCCGCAGGCTGTGCAGGGTGGAAGGCCCCCGGGGCTGCGTCTCTCTCTGCACAGCCGTGTTCCTGGGAAGCCAGCCACAGAGAGCCCAGCTGTAACCTGTGGATTCGGAAGAGCGATGCGGAGGGACAGGGTCCAGTCGGGCCTGCTGGGCGTGGGCGGCCGAGGGCGCTGATGGCCCAGCCGCAGTCCTTTGGTTCTGAGTGGAGATTGTCCGGGGGGGGGGGCGGGAGGAGGAGGGGACGGGCTGTTCTAGAGGCAGCTGCGTCTTTGGGATTTCGGGGGAAGTGGGGGCGTGAACTCATTGTTCTGTTTGTGTGTCCAAAGCAATGGCAGGGACCACTGTTGGGGTCCCCACAGCCGAGGGAGCATACCCAGTATGCCGCAGAGTCTACACGAAACCTCTAGCAAGGCCTCTTCCTTGACCCAAACCCAAACCCAAACCCAAACCCCAGAGCAGAAGAAAGAAAGCACGAGGGAGAGGAGATGTCGCTGAGCTGCCACCTGGCTGCCCTGCTGTCCCCACGTCCGGCGCCTTAGTCGTTCTCCTCTCGCATTTCCACCACGTCTGTCCCCTCCTCCGCCGGCGGAATGTCCGTCATGGCCGAGTCCTCCCCCTCGGCCGCCGTCTCGGTCTCTATCTTCTTTTTCTAGACCCAAAAAGACTCATGAGTGTGGGGCTGTGACGGGGACGCGTCACCGCAGAGCCACGAGCAGGGAGAGGCCGCCAGGGTCTCAGGGGGCCCCTCGCTGCAGACCTGGGTCCCGTCTCTGGTTCGGGTGACCTCCCCGCGGCTGCATCTGGGCTCCGTATATTCCTGTCAGTCCGGTTACTTACTCGGGGGGCCGGCACTGTGCTAGGCGCTTTGGGGGATCCTGGCTGCCCCGTCCCCCTGCCCTGGGGCCCCCCGCCCCCCCACATGCAGACTGTTCTCCCCTCCAGGCCACCCCAGGTCTGTGTCTCTCTCCCACCCTGCTGGTCGCCTGTCCTGATTTCCGGCGACCGCACAGCCTTGTTGGCCACCTTGCGGTAAATGCCTCTCCAGGCCCTGACCTCTTCTCCTTGGGGGCCAGCTTCTCCAGTGCTGCCCCCCAGCCCCGCCATTCTCGGCTCACTGGAGACCCTGTCATTACCAACACCCTTGGCATCACTGACAGGCCAGCTTCAAGGACACGGTCCTCCACCTCCCGCCACGGTCTGCCTCTCCTTTCAGGCCCCTGCCCCCACGACCCATGGGCCTTCTTGCCTCCTCTCCCTGTGCATCAGCTTAAATGAAATGCTCAATAGTTATCATCGCTTCTGTGCCCTGCCCCTCTTTTCTTTAATCTCATTTGTAGGTAAAACCCTGACCTTGGTTGGGCTTAAGCCTCTGCCAATTTCAGCCCTCGCCACCCAGCTGCCGTGGCTGGGGAATCACACTGGGGAGCCCCGGCGATCCATCCTTTGGCCGCTTCCCTTCTCTACCCCCCTCCACTCCCTGGCTAATCCTGTCCCTCCTGCTCCCTAAGTAGTCATAATCTTAGGACTATACCCCCAAACAGGTAACCCTGCAGGATAAATGAATTATGTCCTAACGGTGAGTACACAGTGTGTGTGTGTGTGTGTGTGTGTGTGTGCGCGCGCGCACAGTGGGCAGTTGAGAAGACTTCCTGGAGGGGCATGGGATCTGAGGTTGAGGAGAGGAAGGGCTTTGCAGAGGCAGAGTGGGGAGAGGGCATCCTAATCACCCAACATTTTTTAGACTGGTCCTTCCTCAGTGATAAAGTCTGACTTTATAACGACTTAAAGGACGGATCGGTTTCAGCATTTTCTTGCATAGTCAAAGCATTATTTAGTTTCTACAATTTGTATTCTCCCAAGGCAACACTAGGATGCAGCATTGTATCCTTTCAGTCGTCTCTCCTGAGCAATCTGGCTGCCCTTTGAGACAAGGCGGGTGTCAGGAATAATCCACATAATGGGTATAAGGAGTAACCTACAAAACAACATACTAAGGTGTCCCCTTGTTAGCGAACCTGACCTAGGACTGAGCAACTCTGGCCACGAGGGTCACTCACACGCAGGAGGGGCCCCGGAGTTCTGGTGAGCAGTGTGGATCCAGCTGAGGTGGAGCATGAACGGGAGGTGCCACCGCCCCGGCCACCTCTCGCTGTGGGTCCACAGGGAGCTGCTCAGGATCCCTGCACCTGGGGAGGCTTCACAGCCCGGGCAGGTGCATGGGTCTGCAGCCAGGCTCACCTGTTTCCGATAGACGTAGCACGCGGCTATGGCGACCATGGTGGACTCTCCCACAAACCCCGCCAGGAGGGAGCCCACGCCCAGGGTGGCTCCGTGTACCCTGGGATGAGAACACAAAGGCCATTTGTCTGTTAAAGCCGTGCTGAGGCACAGGTAGAGTGGAAACCCAGCCCAGGAAAGGTGCAGACAAGAGAGGAACCAATTGCCCCCCCCACCCCAAGCTCTGCTAGAAGGGCTGCACCTGATACGCGGCTCCCCTGTGTGGGGAGGGGACCTGGAGCTCCGAGGTGAGCTGTCCCCTACTCCCCTTCCGGATCTTGGCTCCACGCTGCTGGCGGGGCCGTGGGCCACGGCCCCCTCACTCGTGAGCCCACAGCCCTTCCTGCGCTCATCTCTGTACAGAGATGGGAGCTCTGAGGGTGGGGGTCACGACGCCCTTCCTCCCTGTGCTTTCCCCCTTCCTGAGCCTGCCGCCCGTAGCAGGTGCTCAGTGAACAGCGTGTATGGGCCTGACCCCAAAAGTACTCTTCTAGAATGTTGCTGAGCCGCCTTCCACCTACTGCCTGGACAGAGAAAGAAGGTATCACTCTGCATTTCTAATCCTAGATATGCTTGGGGATGCCACATGAACATGCAGATGTTCTTAAGTGGCAGAAGGACCCACAGCCCCCAAGCCCTCCCCTCCCCGCCCCCTGACAGCATACCCCAGGTAGGGCAGGACCACGAGGCTGGTGATGAGGACGATGATCCGCAGCACGGAGCTGGGGGCCAGGACAAAGGTCTTCTTCAGCGTCATCAGCCACCCGGTGAGATGGGCCCTCACAGTGACTGAGGGGACAGCAAAGGACTGGTCAGTGGCACCCTGCTTCTCCCAGTCCTCAGCCTCTGCCCCATGCCTTGCCAGCACACCCGAGGTCGTGGGGTGGCTGGGTGAGGACCCAGGCCTTGCTGCTGCGGCCCCGGGCTGGCCGCCACATCTTCCTGCCGGGGCTCCTGAGCCTGCTTCTGGGCCTGCCATAGCCCCGTCCCTACCCAGGCTGCCTCCTCACTGCAGCCCTTAGCGCCCAGACAGAGGGCTGCAGGCAGCTGCCTTTCCCCGCTGTGACTGCCGTCTGTCTTCGGCTGGCCTGGCCTGCCCACCGCCCCCCTGCCCGCCAGCCCGGCCTCAAGCTCTGATCTCTGCTCTCTAGAAGAGAGGACGCAGAAAAGCCACACCTTGCCAGCGATCCAGTTTGTGCAAGAGGAGGGAAGCTGGACCAGAAGGCCCATCTTCCTGGGTGGGGGAGGGCAGGGGGAGGACCGTGGAGACCAGAGCGGGGAGAGGGAAGGATGGGGCTTCCCTCGTTCCTTCCCAGCCATCCCGGACTGCTGGCACCCTCCTCTCCTTCCCTAACAGCCCCCCTCGTCTCGGTCGGTCACTATTCCCAAGGACCTCGCAGTGCATTCCGGGGCTGGCTCCACATCCACCCTGGTGCAGCGCGGGGCAGGGCAGGGCGCCCGGCCTGGGCACAAACGAGGGCTCTAGGCACGGACTGCGTGGGGGGCCGTGGACACCCCGGTCAGGAGGAAGGGCCTGGATGTTTACATTTGATCTGCAACTGCAAGGGGCTGTTGGAAGCTATGGCCTAGTCCTCCCAGGGTGGGCAGCGCCAGGCAGACTCCTGGGGTAAAAACTCATGTCCAGGGCACATTGGGAGGAAGACGCTCCTGTCTTCCTCGTCTCATGGGAGGCCCTGCCTGCCCAGGGTGGAGGCCTTGTATTATGAGGCACACACACACACTTGGGTTTGGCTGAGGCAGAGGGTAGGGGTGCCCACTGGAAGGCCGGTGGAACCCTGCAGGTTGCAAAGACAGATGGGGCCTGATGGCTGGCCCGAAGCCTTAGTGTGACCGACACAGAAGTGAGTCGAGAGATTAAAAACCAGTCCAGTCCCAGCAGGATTTGTCTGGGACCCCCAGCTCCTCCGCCAGTTGAATCTGGGGAAGGAGCGGCCGGTCCTTAGTCTCCAGCAGGGGGCAGCCTTGCTCTAGGTGGGGTCACCTTCCACAGCGTGGCTCCCCCAGTGTCCCCTTGAGAAAGACCAGACACCACCCCATGGCCGCGATCTTCCACTCCTCCACTTCTTCCACAGCCGGGAAGGTGACACCTGAGAGGCCCGGCCTCCAGAAATGCTCGGCGTCCAAGAGCAGGGGTGGCCTACGATCTAGTGCCCGGATGGCCCCACCGGCCCTGGCCTCCTCCAGCTCCGCGGCCCGTTTCTCAACCGTGGCTTTGTCCATTCTGCCTTCTCAGCTGAATGCTTTAGTGGCTTATTTGGGCATTAATTTTCTTCTTAGGATTTTATTTTTATGTCATCTCTATACCCAATGCGGGACTCGAACTCACAACCCTGAGATCGAGAATGGCAAGCTCTTCCGTCTGAGCCAGCCAGGCGCCCCTGGGCAATACGTTTTTGAATAAGTAATGGCATGTGCTTGGTATGGAACTGAAAAGGGGCAACTGACTCCCCCAGGCCCTGGTCCTGTTCCAGAGGCAACGGCTGGTGCCAGTTTGGTGAGTTACTTCCAGGAACAGTGAGTGGACACCCAAGCACTCACCACGAACTTGACACACAGATGAACAAGCATGTGTGATACACCTGTTACAGAAAAGTAGATGCTAATCAGCCATTCTGCGGCCTGCTCTTCTCATTTAATAAAGAACCGCCTCACTCCCTTATAGTAAACCTCCTCCTACGGTATTGGTTTGGGAATTTTCAGCCTGGCTTATTTTTGGCTATGGACATTTTTCTCTCTGGCCATACGCCGTCTGGCCTCAGCTCTGCCCCCAGATTCTTAACTCCAGCAGTATTTTTCTGTCTTTGTCCATCTGCAGGTTTTAGCAGTCTATCTGCCTTTTTGCTTATGTTACTTTTTAAATAACGTATTATAAAACTGACTTCGGAGGATATAGTTCTAAGAATTTTAACACACGCACAGATCTGTGTAGCCATCACCACGACCAGGGCACGGGACAGTTCCAGGGCCCCCCAAAACTCCTCACGCTGTCCCTTTGGGTGTGCTTTCTTTTTACTGTGTCTGCGACCTCTGTCCTTGAAGAATCAAATTATGGCTGTCCGATTTGTTTCTTGAACTTGCAACCCACTAGGTAATGTGTTGGCACCTTTCCAATCCACTGTGACATTTTACTGTTCCTGTTTGGGACATCATCGCAAACATTTCCAAAGAAAGAAGACTGCATCGGGCATGAGGGTAGACAGGAATTTTCCTTTCATTCTCTGTCTGTCTTTACCTGGAACCGGGAAGAAGGAGAAGATGCGCAGGGGAACAACGCAGAGTTCTGCAAAGGCGAAGTCCACTCCAATGATGTCTATCAGAATTTTCTCGGAAACGTTGGGCGTCCAGAACATCACGAAACAGAGCTGGGGGCAGAAGGGACAGTCAGCAAGGTCGTTAGCAGGAGCGTACATGAGTGAAACGACATCAAGGCAGGTGTTTCGTGACCCCGCGGAGCTAGGAAGGAGGGCGAACCTGCCCGATCAGGGGGCTGGTGCATCAGTCCTCAAACTGCCGCTGTCCTGCCTTGTTCTCACCTTTGGACACAGGCCCCGCCCATTTGGCACAGGTGCCCCAGAGGGACCCCCAGAGGGACCCCTGCAGCGGGGCTACTGAGGGAGACCAGTTGCTCTCATGGAAGGCGTAACTAGGTTGCTAAGCAGCTCAATGAGGTCAGGGTGAACGTGCTCAGTCATGGGATTTTTACAGCTTTCCCCCAAGAGTGAGAAGTGACCCGAAAGCACCTGGACTACATCTGCACGCGCAGAGCCACACTGAATCAGCGCACCTAACGAGAAAGGAAACAGTGAGACTTAAATTCATGATGGGTTCGGGAGCTTTTCAAGGTCTTGTTAAGAGAATAAGAGACAACAGCCACGGAATGTGCACTTTTGGAGAGCAGGTGGGCAAGGAGTACAAGGATTTAACAGACACCCCCGCCAAAACAGAATTTTAAACTGACGGGGTGGGGGAGGGGAGCGAGTTGCTTCCAGCCCTTCCCCCCTCACCCCATCAGGAAATGTGGCAACAGGCCCTTCTGGAAGTGAGGGCAGGGCCAACAGGAGGCCGGTGGAAAGTCTAGTTAGTAAGCAGCTTGTCCAGTCGCCCCTGCACAGCTGGTGACTGTGGCCCCTGACCTTGGCAGGACCCTGGAATTCCATCTCTGCAGTGGAGGACAGTTGCTGCCCGGAATCCGGGGGATTAAGGGAAGGATGACGTCGAAGCTCCTGTCTTCTTCCTCTGTTCAGCTCCCGGAACACAGGAAACCAGCTGCATCCTTTGGGGGGAGGAGACCCAGGGTTCTGGAGGCTGGAGGCTCCCGGTGAGGCAGAACCCCCTCCCGTGCCTGACCGGCCACCACGAGGCCCACACAGGGCATCGGCCGCCCCCACACGGCAGGGCTGCCAGTCGGCTTCTGATGCCCGCCCACGGTGAGGAGACAAGCAGGGATCACCAGACTTTGAGGAAGGCCTCTAAGTTGAAGAGGCTCAGACAGAGGGAAAAAAAAATTGGAGGAAACAGAGACAAAGCAGAGAGACAGAGAGATGGACAGGTGTGTGTGTGTGTGTGTGTGTGTGTGTTTGGGCGTGTGTGTGTGCGCACACACAGGGAGCGAGAGAGAGAGGAAACTTTCCCCACTGATATTCTCAGAGTGATAGAAGATCCCGCATCTATGAAACAAGGCCCAAATGGAAATGTTATTTCAAAAAGGTGGTTAAAGAACAAGAAAGGTACTGCCGAAAATTAAAAAGATTAAGTCAGAAATAAGAAATTCACAAAACGACAGTAAGATAAAGTTGAAGAAATCTATAACAAAGATGGAGCAGGACAAAGACATGGGAAGTACAGGAGAATGGGTTAAAAAAATATAAATAAAGGACCAATCTAGGAGGCACAAATTCAAGTAATATGAGTTCCAGAAAGAGAGAACAGTGAAAATCTGAGAGCTGAAAGATACGACTTCTAAGACCATCGTGGGGTCCATCAGGTGGACACAGCACTGTGGATGAAGGAAGACCCGCCAAGCACAGCACACACAATGCTGGAGGCAGAGACAAGATTCTAGGAGCTTCCAGCAGTGGATAGCTAGAAAGCTCACACCGAGAGTCAGAAGACACGGGCGGTAAGTGAGTAGGGAAAATGGTTTCTATCCTAGAACTCAGAACCAAATTGTCAATCAAGTGTGCTGGAAGAAAGACACCTTCAGGTGTTCAAGGCCTCAAAGAATTTCCTTCCTACACAACACTTTCTCAAGAAGACACTGGGGGTATCCTCTGCCAGAGCAAGGGAGGAGTCATGGATGAAGAAAAATTACAGGATTGATCTCAAGAAAAAGGCCTGGGGAATCCCTGGGATGGGATCAGGGAAGATCCCAGAAGGGCCGAGAACAGGCCCACGGGTCAGCAGATTTGCACTGGAGCTGGTTGGAATAGACCTCATATGTGGGGTGCGTGCAATGAAGGGAACATGTGGGAATAAACTAGTGGCAAATAGAAAGCTGAGAAAAATTATGAATAGGACAATGATGGTGGTCCAGGGAAAACTACAATTTTTTCAAGAAAAGAAGGGAATCAGAGCTAGCTGTCAAGAGTTTGCCACAGTCGGAATCCATCGAAAGAGCTGCGGAGCTGGAGGGGTGCCTGGGAATACAAAAAGTGGGGAGTGCGCAGGCCGGGGGAAGGGCTGTTGGTAACAATCCTTAGGGAACGGACTTTTTAACCTCTGTGTGTGTACAACTGATTAACAAACCCTGAATGAAAACATGTAATAATACAACTTTGGAAGAGAATGCTAAACACCTGCCAATTCCACCAAATATTTTCTTGCTTCAGGTGCAAGTGATTCTTCTTTAAAATGAAAGTGAATACATTCTAAAATGAATCACAATCATGTAAAAACAGAACGCTGAAATTTCAGAATACATGATCCTTTAGGCTTTGGGTAAATTAAGTTTCACGGAATTAGGCTGATCCCATTAACTACGTTGTGCTAACTGGAAGATCTATTATAAATGTAATGGAGCTTTTATTCTATCATGCATTCTTCAGTATCTGGAAAGAATATTCCATTGCATTTCAAAAGTGGCAGATGTACAATCATTTAACCCTCCTGCCTAATGCCGTACTCACACCCAATTTTTGACATGAAGGGAAAAGTACTTCCTTAGATCTAGCAACCCAGAGCTCAGCGACTTTATTACCTAGTGGCCTGGACAAGTGGCCTTGTCATCTTTTTCCACTGCAAAGCTGTCAGCCTGAAAGGGTGAGGTTCACGCCTACAGCTTGGGGGAGGCGGTGGGGTGGGCGAGGGAGGCAATTTCATGCAATTAAAACTTCAAAATGACACTGAGCATGGGACTGGGACACAATCCATTTCCCTGATGAAGAGATGGATCATCTCTCCTTCCAAATATTTTCCACTGCAGTAAAGCTGTAAAGATTAAGATAAGTGAGCATCGCCCCAAGTCTGGACTTGCTTTGTGCCTAAGGAGATGTGGAGGGTAAGCTACTCTAAGTTTTCCCGGCTGGAGGGCGTTACCTGGGGCATATTCTCCTAAAAACGTAGGCTTCCAGGAGAATCACTGGTATGCTGTATTTCTATTACAACCAGCGATGATCTGAATGTGAGATAATGCTGCACGTTGCAATCTCTCTGTGTTTTGTAAATCACCATAAAGTAGCCTCTAAGTTCCAACAAACCAAGGAAAAAGGAGGGTGTAACCACACGTCAGAGAGGATGGAACAAGAAAGCATCTGTCGGCAAGCCAGATAATCCCTCCCCCTTGCTTCTCCACGTGGACAATGTTCATCTGGAAACTTTTTACTGCCTTGGACAAAATTATGAGTAAACCTTTGAAGGAGGGAGTGCAATCCGAGGGCACAGCAACAACGAGCTGCCCACGTCACACGGGACGTTTACACGAATCTCAACCTGGACGGGTGGCCACCATTCTGGTCCCTTGCAAACCAAACGCTGAGGTTTGGTGGGTCTCTAACAGATCCTCCAGGAGAGTGGCTTGATATTCCATTTCCAAAATTCCACAGTATTTGACTTGGACCCATGGAGTGACTCTGGTCTCCCTCTGGTCTCTATCTGTGCTAAGCATACCTTAAAGGTCCCTATCAAGGCCACATGCCACCGAGGTGCCTCTTCAGAGTTTTCAGTCACACACACCGAGAGCCTACACTGGGTCTTCTAGAACAAGGTAGCCGAAAGCCGTCAGTCTGGCCTGGGGCTTCAGCAATCCCAGGTAACTGTTCCAAGAGAAGGAACATGGCCTACCTCGACGCTTCCTTTCTTTTCTCCCCCCAAATTTCTAAATATGGCCCCTTTGCCGTGCTTCCAGGATGAAAACGCCCGCTGCCTTCCAGCAAGCTCCTAAGAAAGTGACTATTTCCTGCACTGCCCAGAGAGAAAAACGTGCAGCTTAGAAGTAGGTGTGGTGTTGGTTAAAAGCTGCAATCAATACTTATGTGCAGGTCAACTTCCCCGAAGAATAATAACCAGATCACATCTGACCAGCCTGTTTCAGAAAACAAGAAGCTTCAGAAGTAAACCTAACAAAGAACATTTCAGGAAAAGTGTCATTCTAATGAGTTGCCCGGAGGAGGCTTCCCTCGGAACAAGCCCTCCCAGTTGACCATGACATGCCGTGTTCCTCAAATATTTGCAGAGCCTAATGACATTGAATTTTCCAAACCAGAACACAAACCTAATAAACTACTGACAATGAACAGGATTTGTTCTCCTTGGAGCAGGTGCGGGGTTGGCTTTTTTTTTTTTTTTTTTTTTTGCCCCTGCAGAGCTTGCTGTCAATATTATCTGATTAGGAAGCAGCCGGCAAAACAGAATAACCCACTCAGTGCCCAGATCTGGGTTCTTCTATTTATTCTCCAATAAAAGGAGCCGGGGCTTCTTAGAGAAGTGGCTTATTCGAAGACCAGGTCAGGAAATATATGAGATGATCAGCCTGGAGTAATGTGTCAAAGGACACAGGAACTCAGCAGAAAGAGCTCCCGATGGCCAAAACTGGAACGATTTGAGCACCAAAATAATATAGTATTGAATTATGACCCCCAGTGTACAATAACTACCCAGGAGTCCATACCGATTTGAATAGGGACAAATCTCCCACATAGAAAGCTGAATAATTTATGTATTTGGATGAGGCCGCAGGGAGGTGGAGCATACCCCCCCTCCTGAAGTGTGGGCTGACCACAGCAACTGCCTCCTAGAGAGAGTACCTTCCAGCAGGGAAGTGGTGAACACAGTCTCGGCCAGGCGATCAAGGTCAAGGTCAACAGTGATTAAGTCACGTTGATTGCATGTATTCTTGGTAAGATGGGAGAACAGCACTTCACCTGGG